ATTAAATTTTTACATGTTTCAAAAGACATCTTCAAAAGAGTAAAAATAGAATCTACGGATTGGGAAAAAATATCTGTCAATGACATATCTGACAAGGTACTTATCTCTAAAATTTATACAAAACTCCAACACTTCAACAACAAAAGGACAAAAAATCCAATTCAAAAATGGGCAGAAGAGATGAATAGACACTTCACCAAAAAGGATATTGAGGCCACCAACAAACACATGAAGAAATGTTCATGATCATTAGCTATTAGATGTAAATCAAAATGACAATGAGATATCATTTTGCCCCAGCAGTAATGGCAATGTTCAACAAGACAGAAAATAACAAATGCTAACAAGGATGTGGAGAGATTGGGAGTCTCATACATTGCTGGTTGTTATGTTATGTGCCATTGAGTCAAACCTGACTCATAGTGACCCCTCCTTGGGTTTCCGAGGCAGTATCACTACGGAAGTAGGATTGCCCAACCTTTCTTCCGAGGAGTGGCTGGTGGGTTTGAACTGCCAGCTGTCTGGTTAGCAGACAAGTGTCTTAGCCACTATGCTACCAGGTAGGACTGTAAAATGATACAACCATGTTGGAAAGCAGTATGGTGATTTCTTAAAAAGTTGGAATTAGAAATACCATTTGATCCAGCAATCTCATTACTAGTTATATATTCTAAAGAAGTGAGAGCCAGGAGAAGAACAGATAAATGCATGCCCATGTTCATTACAGCACTATTTACAAAAGCAAAACGATGGAAACAACCTAGGTGCCCATCAACAGAAGAATGTTGTTATGTGCTGTCAAGTCGGACCTGACTCATAGTGACCCCTCCTTGGGTTTCTGAGGCAGTATCACTACGGAAGTAGATTGCCCCTTCTTCTTTCCAAGGATTGGCTGGTGGGTTTGAACCGCCATCCTTCTGGTTAGCAGTCAATTCCCTTAGGCACTACGCTACCAGAGCTCCCAACAGAAGAACAGATAACCCAAATATGGTACATACACACAATGGAATACTATGCAACACTAAAGACTAAGGCAGAATCTCCAAAACACCATATAATATGGATGAACTTGGAGGACATTATGACGAGTGAAATAAGTCAGTCACAGAAGGACAAATATTGCATTAGTTTGTTATTGTAAAAAGTGAAGGAAAGGTTTATATATGGAAGGAAAGTTTTGTTGTTGGTTACCCAGGGTAGGATCAGTGGGAGGGAACACAATCAATCAATAAAAATAATTTAAAAATAATAAGAATAAAAAAAAATAAAAACAATAGATCAATATTTTTGTGTTTATTCTCTTATTTGTAAAATGGAGCTGACAGTCATTTCTGCTTCTTAAGTTGTTCTGAAGAGTAAATAAGTTAATACATGTAAAGTATTGCTAACAGTGCCTCAGGTATGTTGTTGTTATGTGCTGTCCAGTCGGACCCGACTCATAGCAACCCCTCCTTGGGTTTCCCAGTCAGTATCACTATGGAAGTAGATTGTCGCATCTTCCTTCTGAGGAATGGCTGGTGGGTTTGAACCGCCAGCCTTCTGGTTAGCAGTCAAGTGCCTCAGCCACTATGCTACCAGAGCTCCTCTACAGATATGTTGTTATGTTCCATCAAGTTGGACCTGACTCATAGTGACCCCTCCTTGGGTTTCTGAGGCAGTATCACTGTGGAAGTAGATTGCCCCATCTTCCTTCCAAGGAGTGGCTGGTGGGCTTGAACCACCAGCCTTCTGGTTAGCAGTCAAGTGCCTTAGCTTCACAGATACAGAAAGTGCTGTTTAAGTGCTTGCTATCGTTACTGCAAAAGATGTGTATTCTATTGCTTATCCTTTATAGAGCCCTTTAAATAGCATCTAAAAGAACTAATTGCTTGTAAATCAAATGTATAACCTTCAATTATTGAAGTATCCTTTCAAAAGAACATTTTATATTCAAGATATGTTGCTCTGTTTTTAAAACCACTTATACTTAACAGGTGCAGTGGTTGAACTCAAAAAGTGCTTGGTGCTGGTTCAAACCCATGAGCTGCTTTGAGCGAGAAAAATGTGGCAGCCTGTTTCTGTAAAGATTTACAGCTTTGGAAACCCTGTGGGGCACTTCTACTCTGTTCTATAGGGTCATTATATCGGAATCGACTCAATGGCAATGGACTTGTGTTTTGGTTTTATAGTACTTAAATGCTTAAATTTGCAATTTGTTTTTACCAAGCTTTCAAGCAGGGGAGAAAAGAAAAGCGATTTTAGATCAAATCCTGTAACTGTTCCTTTCCCACTGCTATTACTGTTTCATACCTGTGCCCCAACATTAGGCCATTCTCATGCAGTACCTGTACTTCCCATCTTGCCTTTTCCCAGACAATGGAGAAACTCAGGTAGCTGTTCTAGGAACCACCAACACATCCTGTATCTGTTTTACCTTCCACCTCCGCACTCCTCCAGTCATCACAAACTAATGTGAGCACCATTACTACTAGGTATTTTCATGTTTAATCACTTTTCTCAGAACAGCTCTAAGAAGTTGGTAGCATCACCATACACTGAAGAGAACTGAGGATCTCATACGTGAAGAAACTTGTCCATCACAGAGTGGTGTGCTTAGATAGGACTTGAGCTAACATCTATCTGCCTGACTTTCAAGCAGATTCTTTTTCAGTATGATGCAAGATGTGGAGAGCTTGAGTCTGGGAGAAGTCATTTAGACAATTTTTATGGGACACTTCCTATGTGTCAGGTAGGAAATGTAAGTCAACAGGATAGTTATTGACCTCAGAAGTTTAGTCTACTGTGGGAAGAGGAGACGATAACTGAAATTATGTTCATATCAGTAAAATATAATTAGGATAAATTTCTGGGGATTACATTACATATGGAAGAAATGGGAAATACACTTTATTTGGGTTATTCCTGAGAGATACTTAATTCTAACTAAAAATGAGGTATAGAATGGCTTTGCTAAAAGGTGATTTTTAGTATCGCATTTGTCATAAAGGATTCCTTTTACAACCTACCTGCTCATTTAAATCAGTTCTCTCACTGAGTTTGGATCTAGGTTTATTAGTTCAATTTTGAATTAATATGTATGGTTTCTTGAGGAACTACAGGTGCCATGTGCTTTTGCATTGTAAAGAGAAAGAGACCCCAGATTTAAACATGTTCTACAGAGACTTTTATTAAACCTTAGGCCAAAGACAGAACATTCATCCTAGATGAGGGAAACAATCAGTATGTACACAGTACAGAAAGTTGGAGTTCATGGAAATGTGTCCATGGGTCTAATTACATGTGATTGAAAACAAAAGCAATCATCATAAAATGATAATTGGTGGTAGATCAATTAACCGCTGTTGCAGGTGGGGCTACAGAGGTGGGGGTGGGGCGAAAGACCATGATTGGGATACATAAATAACTGAAGATTAAAAAGGGTTACAGGATTGGTTCTGGGGCCTGACCACCTGGCTATGTTGTGGTCTCATGACTCATAAACATGCAGCCTGTCATAGCACAAGATAGCTGTAAGAAAACACCAGGGGTCCAACCTTAAACTCCAACCTTTCAACCACAGGCTTCCTGAGGGCACAATGCCCCTCCCCACGTTTGTCCGGGAACTTTATGCATAGCCACAATGTGGTAAAGGTCAGAAAGAACTTAATGAACTTAACTTTTATGTCAAGACTCAAAGTGGAGTTAGGGCTTCCACTATAAACTGCAGCCTTCCACAAACCAAGTGCTTCAGAATTTAAGTTCTAATACATGTATCACCTCAAATCCTTAATAGCCTGCTAGATTGGTTTCGTGCCCATTTTACAAATGAAGAAACGAAGTCCTGAACAAATGTGCCTTGAACAATGCTAAACACTATGTGGGAAGGTCGGAATTTGAATCTTGGTCTGAGAGCTCCAAGCAGTTTGTCCTTTCTGACCTCAAGCCACGGAATCTTAAATGCTGATGCTGGAGAAAAGTAAAGTATATTTCAAAGGTTAAGTTTTAAACCAGGGCACTACCTATTATCGGATAAATATTAGTTTAATATCAGCAAGAAACCATCCATCTCTCTGTTCTCTTCACGTGCAAAACATTATAAAAAAAATCTTCACAATTGGCTGCCCAATGGGAAGAAATTGATACTGAAAATGCAAGTAGAAATTAGTCCCCTCAGCAAGTAGGCACTTGTTATGTGCTGATGAGTCGGCCTGGACTCACACCGACCCTTCCTTGAGTTTCCGAGGCAGTATCACTACGGAAGTAGATTGCCTCATCTTCCTTCTGAGGAGTGGCTGCCAGCCTTCTGGTTAGCAGTCAAGTGCCTTTGGCACTACGCCACCAGAGCTCCCAAGTAGGCACTATGCCTAGCGTTTCAACAAGGTGCCTGAGACAAAATGGTAAGAGAAAGCCGCAGGGAACCAACCAGTACGAAGCACAGGGCTCAACCCCATCACTCATTTCCTGAGCGCGCCGGGCGCAGCATACATACGTCAAAACGGGGAGGGCGTGACTTCCGCCTTGCGCATCCTTAAAGAACAGGAACCCTGTTTGGGGCTTCAGTTTATGGATTTACTCGAGCAGTTTAGTTCGGTTTAAGGCAAGTCTTCTGATTTTTATCTCGCCTGCGTTGTTCCATCTCCCCTGTTTTCCATTACGGGTACAAACTTTTGGGCCAAAGCGCTGGGCTAGACCAAGACATGTTCTTCCCAACGCTGGCCATTTTCTGGTCCCTTCTTTCTTCCGGGAGGCTGTGTCAGCTGCCAGGAAGTGCTACAGCGTGTATTCCTCTTCCCGACTCACATTCTCGTTGATGTCGTTTTCCTGGAAAACCATACGCTCTTTATTTTTCGCCTGGTCTTTTCTGAGTAGGGGTAGGGAACCTCTTCCTAGTGACCTTGGCGGTGGTGCAACTTGAAGTGGAAGAATTAGAATAAAAACACAGTCAGTTGGAGGAGCTCGTCCTTGGTCTCCTGTCTCCCCTGGATCCCGTTCCCGAGTTCTGCTGAGGACACAGCTGCCACATGGGAGTCCAAGGGCTCTGGAAGCTGCTTGAGTGCTCCGGGAGGCAGATTAGCCCGGAAACGCTAGAAGGGAAGATTCTTGCTGTTGGTATCCTTAATGCATCGTTGAGAACTGGGGATGCAGTGATTTACTTTAGAATGTTACCGCCAGCTCTCCTTTGGGCGTAGAGTGGTGTTTGTGGGGTGACAGTCTCACCCAGTGTATAGCTGTAGAATCTCCTGGACGTTCTCTTTGCTGAATGTCTACTGTTCTCAACTTTGGAATCAGTCTGTTCTGGATTGGTTTTGTTATTTATAGGCAATGTAACTTACTCCTCCATTTTAATTCTTTCATCTGTAAAGTGGTGGTGATGGTGGGAGCTACCCACAGAATTAATATGAGGAATAAAAGTGTTATTTAAAGAAAGGAAGTGCAGAAGAGTTTGATACTTAAAACTACATCTTAAAATTAACATCTCGTTGAGATGTCAGGACCGAGTACTTCTTGCTATTTTGCCTGTTCTACCGTCCTGCCACATTTATTTTTGTTAGTGTGGGGTATTGATAATTTTAAAATAAAGTTTTTTTTTTTTTAAATAGTAATTATCTTCACATACATCTGTAATACATTTTTGGATTATTTAGAAGTTTTACTGCAGGGTACCTGATGTGGTGAAAAGTGACAGTTTTTTTTTTTTTCCTTTTTAATGCACGTATGCTATTACTAAGGAGCTCTGGTGGCGTAGTGCATAAGGTATTCTATTGCTAACCAGAAGCATGGCGGTTCAAACCCACCAGCCACTCCCGGGGAGGGAAGACTGGGCAATCTCTTTCCGTAAAGATTTACTGCCTCGGAAACCCAAAGGGAATCTCCATGAGTCCGAATTGACGAGGGTAGGGAGTTTGGTTTTTTGATTATGTTTTTGCTGCCCTCCAGTGGTTTCTTCATATCATTGCACTCTTGAGATTTTCTTCACAGACCTACTGTGTATCAGAGGACAGTTTTCAGTGTGAGAAACCTTTAAAATTTAGCAGAAGTTTAGATCATTTTATGTCGCAGTCAGTGTTAATAAATGAGAATTTGTAAAATTTAAATGACACATAAAGTTCAGTATTCTAATTTTTTTAGTAGTCAAAATAAAGAAGCATGGAACGTTTAATTTAGATTATTTTTAGAGGCCTCAAAGAAGCTCTTGGAATATGAAGTCATTTTTATGGAGTAATTGGATTTTTCTGAAAGAATGAATCATTTATCTAAAGATGACTGTCAAAGATACTCTTGTTTTTCATAAAGATAACGCTCCATGTATATGGAGAATATCTGATTTCTTGTTCTAGAGTTGGTTTTGCTTTGTTTTATTTCATGGGAAATCAAACATCTGAAATACATTCAGGTTTATTTATTTATTTCTGTTAGTAAGAACTTATGATTATACTAAGTTCACAGTTTACTCTTGGATCCCTAAAATAAATCAAGTTTTTAACATCCCTGTAGCTAAGTGTTGTGTTTATTTACTTAAATATCTGTGTGAAAAATAATACAGAGTTAACAGTTTAACTTTGCCTCTTACTGACATTAACATTTCTGATATGCATTTCAGTATTTTGGTAAAATAGTACACTTTCTTTAGACAATGCATACTAATGCAGATTAATTAAATTTTAAATCACTTAGCTATAGACCTAAGGGAGCTCTGGTGGCATAGTGCCTAAGGCATTTGACTGCTAACCAGAAGGCTGGAGGTTCAAACCCACCAGCCACTCCTCAGAAGGAAGACCAGGCAATCTACTTTCGTACTGATATTGCCTTGGAAACCCAAGAAGGGGTAGCTATGAGTCGGATGCGACTCGACGGCAGTAAGTATATAGACCTAAAGTGTTTATTTTTTGTTTCAAAACATTACTGGTCCTTTGGATTTTGTCTCTAAAATGATTTTTGGCTTTGCAGCAGATTTTAACTTTTCTAGCCGCAGAAGAAATTTAATTTTGTCTTCTGTAAAGTTGTTGGAATTAGACTAATCAAATTATGTAAATATTTTCAGTTTGCTTAATTTTTCAAATTTTATATTTCACTGTGAGAGTTTCAAGATCGGATTCTCAACCAGCTGAGAATCTGAGGATCAACACTAGCTATGGTTAATTTAAAAAAAGGAAGAAAAAGACCTCATTGCATTCCTTATAACTTAGAATATTAGGTATATGGGTTTAATATAGATCTATGTTTCAGAACCTTCCTATCAAATTCTAGTGGATTATAGGGTTGAGAGCCACTGATTGAAATTAGACTTTCTCACTTAATTATAAAAGTGATGAGCTAAGTAGAAACTTACCCTGTACCAGAAGGTAAAAAAAAAAGTTAGGCATAAATATTTATCCAGTACAATACTGATCTAAGTCAACACCAAATCCTGTCTTCACTACTACTATCTGTTTTCACTTGGGGCGTTGTAACTGGTTTTATAACTGGCTTTCTTATAGTCTGTTGTCCACCAGAATGATCCTTAAGTCCCCTTCTAGCAACCTTCTAGTGGATGTGTAAGATGTTGTATGATTCTACCATAGCCTGTAAGATCTGATAACCCACATCAACTCCTATCATTCCTCCCTCTCACTATGCTCCTGCAACTCTGGACTTAAAAGGAAGCATGCTCTGTTTCAGGGCATTCACGTTTCCTGTTACCTTTGCCTCACAGTTACTCCTCTTGCTTATTCAGGTCTCTGTTAAAAGTGTCATTTCTTCAGATAAGTCTTCTTTAACTTAAATAGTCATTGACCCCAAATTACTCTTTTTGTCTTTTTACTCTGCTGTATTTTTTTTTTTTTTCTAGTTACTTACTAACGACATCTATTACTTTTTTGTCTTGTGAATTGGAATGTAGCTTTCCTGGGGACAGAAACTATATATATCTATTTTACTCACTATTAACATTGTTCACTGATCACTAGGGTCTTGGATATGCCTGGCACATAGTTACACTCAAATATTATAGAAATAAATACAATAACTTGCTTTTCTTTAGTAATTTTTTACATAATGTTTAGTAAGTCATTGATGAGCCATTTTTTTATGGTAGTAAATTGGATAATTGCATTCATTTGAATATTAAACTTCAACTAATTTAATAGCAGTTATTTATTGCCTATTATATGATAGGGCCTATGATAAGCAGAGCAGTACACAAAACATGGTCTAGACGAGTTATAGAGCTCAAAGTCTTGTTTTATAAATTCCTTGAAAGTAGGGACTCTGTTCAGTGCTATATTCTCAGTGTCAGAATTTGTTTTAACACTTGGGGGATAGGGTTTTATAACTGGAGATCTTAATCTAAGTTGAAGAAGTGATCCATAAACTGATACCTCAGGGTAAGAGAGAGGTAGGCTAAGAGAGGGAGAAACCCTTACAAGCAGAGGAAAGAGTGCATGAAAAGACCCTGGAAGGAAGAAGCTTTATTGGATGGGGCTGGTGATTGAGGTAGCCTACATAGGTAGTGCAGACTGGATGAAACAAGAGGGACTAAGAGAAGATCACTGATAGAGTTGGCAAAGAGGTTGCGACCGGGAAAACCTGCAGAGCGTCCTGCCCCTCATGCTTGTGGACAATTATAAAATGTTTTCGTTTCTTTTAGAAACTTGTGAAAATACAAGGAAGCTCCAAGAAGAAAATATAAACTACCTAAAATCTCAGTGGACATAACTACTTATATTTTGGTATCTGAGCTTTTAGTTTTTTAAAATTTAATAAATTACATATAAAATGAAATTATACATTGCATACATTTCAAACCTATTTTACTTTAATACTATTTTGTAACTTTTCCTTATTACTACGTATGCTTCTGTAACTTTTGCTTTTAATGGCTACTTGGTATTCTAGTGAATCACTATATCATTAGTTTTTGAAAATGACTGCTTGGGAAGCATTTAAATTGTTTCCCATTTTTCATTATTATAAACAAGCATGTTATAAATAACTCTTATTGTAAGTCCTTGGTCATTTCCTTACTATAAATATCTGGAAGTGAAATCTTAGGTAAATAGAATGTAAGTTTTTAAGATTTTTGCTATCAATTGCCAAGTTATCTTCTAGAAAGTTGTACCAATTTATTAAAGTTCTTTAGTGATTATTAGTTTTCTTTTAGAAACCACTCTTTGCATTAGATATTTTAAAGGACAAATCAGTCTTTGCAACACTTTAAAATTCAGTATGTGGATAGCAGTAATAAGGAAACAAAATTTTACATAAATTCTATCAAGGCCAAATATTTTTCAGTTTTATATAAATAGCAATGAATGTTTATTTTTCAACCTTTGAATGTGACCAGTTAGTAGGAATTTGAAATTGTGAGAATGGGGGAAGAAATGCCAAAATATTTTTCATTAACAATTTGTCCAGATATTAGCATTTGGTTAAACCAAGCACTTAAAGGAGTCCGAGATCGTCGTGGGAACACCATAGAAAATGCTCATCTTCTCACTTTGTTTCATCGGCTCTGCAAACTCTTATTTTTCCGAATTCGTCCTATTTTCGTTTTTGATGGGGATGCTCCACTACTGAAGAAGCAGACTTTGGTAAATGTCATCTAATTATCTTTTTCTTACTGTATTCTTAGAAAGAAACAAAAGTTAACATTTTTATTTTCTCTTAAGAATTTTAGAAACAGACTGATTTTTTTTTTTTTTAATT